GCTATTAGGTTGGACGCCATCGCTATTAGGTTGGAGGCCATCGCTGTTTTACAGTTCTTTGGCCATACACTCCCAGTTGGCGCACTCCTCGCTCCGAGGTTCACGTGTTCGCCTTGAAAGCGGAAGTCACCGGGCTTCTGGCCGCCCGTGATGCCCAGCAAACAGACGACGCAACGGGCTTCGTCCGTGCCGCGTAGACGTGGCGCAGCATTCTGGTGACTGCGAACACCATTTGCAGCGAGATGTGGTTGTGGGGGGGAAGCTTGAAGCTTGTGGAGTCACAGGATATGTCAAAGTGGAGCGGCAAATGTCATAGTGTATCGTAGTGTATCAAAGAATATCAAAGAACAGGGGTTGGTGGTTCAAGCTTATCGGCTCTCTGAGCACACCTTTGGGGGTCAAGATGGTGCTTGGCCATTCCCTGTCCTCCCAAGGTGTCTGAAAACCCAAACGACAATGGAAGCTTTCCTAGTGCACCTGAAACATGTGGTGCTTGAGGCGTTCCGATGCAGCTTCGAGGGGCGCTTGGACCAGGAGCCACCAGGGGCGCTTGTCAGCCGAAATCAACATACAATGCCAAAGACGCCAGTCATGACCCAGTGCAGCGGACAAAAAGAGGAGGATGCTGGTGGCGAATATGATTTCCGAATCGACGGCCATGCTGGCCGGTCTTGTTTCGCCAACGGTTGCGAAAACAGAGGATGTTTCAAGGTGTTTCGATGTTGCGCAACAGCATCCAACTCCTGTTCAACCGCAGAGGAACGCTGCCATGTGGAGGAGGGGTCACGTGGCCGGCCCCCGGTGCCACGCTCGCTCGGGCGCGGTGCCGGCCAGGTGTGGGAGTCCAGATTCACATCTTCACCGAGTCGGAGGCAGAACCGACGTGGTCGGGTCCAATGCGGTCGGACGAGAGCGTCGGACCTGTCCAAGACTTTTGGAGTGCTTATGTTTAATGTGTGTGAGAGAGAGTGATTCAACATGATTCAACCAGTGTCGACCCAAGCATGCTTCCTTGAGTGTTGAATGTGTTTTTCCCGTCCTTCTGCTTGTTGAGAGGTGCTTACTGACGATCTCGTCGTGGATGCTGGTGTCACACTGGAGGCAGCTGGTAAGCCACGCTTGTAGCAAGTGGTGTTTTTTTGGGTCAACAGACCGATCATTGTTACATATTGTTACAAATTTATTTGTCTATATACCTATCCATCATTATCCATCTATTTGTCTCAGTTACATATCACATACAGGTTCTTAGACAGTCTTATCATCCCAGAATGAAGGAAGAGCCTGGCAAAACTCCTTTCAACCCAGGAACATCCTCCAACAAGCTATGCTGGCTGGTCCTATCCCCGTGCTTGACATGCTTGCACGTTTTGTCTCGGACAAACATCACATGAATCGTCGCTATCACTACTTTTCACACGTTTTGGATCGTTTTGGGGAATCATGTCCCTGCTAACCATCATCATCCAAAGGGATGTGAGAGTCGAAATGCTAGGGGGTCGTATTAGCCAGTTAGCACATGGTAGAACCGGGATGATGGGAATCTATAATATGTACTTTATTATAGCACTCAGAACATTTTTTCAAAACAGTTTGAATCTAGCCACCACCAGTGCTTGCAACCATACCACAACACCACAGATACCGCACCACTACCACAAAGATTTCTCCCAGGGGGGGCGGACCCAGCCGCGTAGCGGCACGAATAGGTCAGCGTCAAGAAAGCTATGTCTCCCATCTTGTCAAAAAATAATCCAAAGCTCAAAGCTCGCCAAGTTAAAGAGGACCTCCTTCTACTGCAGAACCCATCGCAGCACGGGCGCCAGCATGCGCCAGCCATCTCCCGACCCGTGTTGAGTGCGCACGACCCGCCCGGTCGGGCACGTTGCAGACGGGCGATCTGAACGCGCCCCACAACTTCGTCCGCTTCTACCTGGCCAAGTGGATCTCGGCGTCCAGGAGCGGGGCTTAGAAAGAACATGAAGAGAAGCATCATGGGAAAAGTTCCCCCCAATGAAAAATGAAAGAGTTTGAGGTTACCATGTGCAGTTTTGGCCCGACGGCGATTGGTGTAAAAACGAGAAGTGACCTTCGGATGAATCAGCGCTTGTGAGTTTGGTTTCGCAACGGCTGTGGATGGTCGATGGATCGAATACACCCATATCCATTTCTCCTTTCCCAACCGGTCTCCTGTTTGAAGGATCGTCTACCTCGATACCGACGTCATCGTCAAAGGTGATGCTCCATCCTCAGATTTCGTTTACGACGCGATGAGCTCATTGCTTTGGCTGAGCAAGTTTGGTCAACGCATGCTGGGCCATTTTTGGTGGGATGAACAATGATCGATTGGGTCAGAAACTATTTGGGTGTTCATCAGCAGTGGGTACTTTTTGCATCTAATAGCCTTCCCTTGTTTGTTGCGAAGCTCGCATTATTGAAACAAGGGTCACCTCTTCCCGGCTGGAGTTCACCATTTGAGGAGATGGGAGTAACGACGGAAGGCTTGGCCAACAGCTTGCATGTTCACCGAGTGAGCTGCTCCAAATGTAATCTCTGGACATCCACATCCACACACAGGCAGCTTTCGGCCGCACAGAACCCGCTGTGGAGCTCACTGAGCGCGAAATGCACAACTACATGAAATGGGACAATAGTCCCAAATCAAGCTTCCAGTGTGAACGACAGTTTCTTTTTCCAGTTGGCTCAGGATTGCGACCTTGAAGATATTGAAGCCTGATTGAGGTCCACAATACAGGTTTTCGGGTTGAAAATACGAAGGAAACAAAGTAAGCCTGACAAGACAAAGTGGAGCACTGACTGCAACTTGCCGGCCAGATAGTCGCCTCCCAAGGCTAAAGCCGCGTGCAGGAAATGTTTCCAATGACACTTAACACCTTCGATCAGGAAACCAAGGCTCATGGAATCAGTCAAAGAAACCTGGTACAAAAACCGATGGAGTGTATTCAGACAAACAACCCGTTGCAGCGCACAGGGCTTCCAAAACCATCCCAAAAAGCAACAGTCTTTTCAAATCCAACCGACACCGGCCGGAACGAAGCGGAACCGAAGCTTCAGGTGTGCGAGCTTCATGACATGGCCTTTCAGAGCTCACGGGAGGCTGCGTTCTGTTTGCCACCACGGGAGGCTGCGGTGTCCCTTTTCTTTCAGATTGATTTGTTTATCCACGGATTTCATCAGCGAATCAGCAAGCGATCAGCAGCGATCAAGACTCGGAGGGATTGACACAAGGTCTTTGGCCATTGACTCATTGACCCTTCCAGGTAGACCTCGACATGGATCCATTCACGTCGCAGATGGCCAGGCGGTGCTGGCGGCCGTGCCACGGCGGCATTTGCCGCTGTCCTTCTACTTGAAGGTGAGAGAGTCCGGATGTTTCGGAGGGCTTGCAGGGCAAACCAAGTCGCGAAAACCAATGCTCCCGTCGAATGCACAGAAATGGGGTCATACGGTATACGGGTCCGCCCTTTTTCACCTTACCATTTTGGCTCTCCCACAACATCTTGGCCTAAGAACGTGCTTCAGGGCAGGTGCTGGCGACGGCTTCTTGCAAGGAAGCGCACCCTTTCTTTTCTAGGTTCTGGAATGTTACTACCATGCTACAAAAGCTTTAAGACTTATACATGGTATCAAATGTCTTAAAGCTTTTTCTCACGGAGCAGCCAGTTTGCTGGACCCGGACGGCACCCGTTTGCGCTGCGTGGCCGTCTAGGTGTTCAGCCCCAAGATGCCTATTTGGTTGCCCTCGACGGCTCCAAGCTTCAATGCAGGTGGGTTCGCTCATTTCGTGGCTCAACAGGTTTTCCTTGGTCGAAGTGGATGAGGAGTTCAGGTTTAGCTTTAGACCGTGGCCAGCAAGTTCTTTCTTGTGCTGACTCAATAATCCACTTGCAATAATGTCTATATGCAATTACGATAAATATATAACTATGATGCATACTTGTCATTGTATATTTTGTATATTGTGTGTCCAATTTTTCGGGCCCCTATGTTCACGAACGATCGTTTTCCAACGAGTCATGTCATGTCGTGTTTTTTCCTGCTTCGATGTGCAGGCGTCATGGTGATTGATATGAAGCTTTGGGCATCTGGGCGTCCATTATTCACGCTCACCGGGGTTCTTTGTGCTAGCCCTGTGGGCCCTTCTGAACTTCTGAGGGTCCAGCAGTCTTGAAAGCATTGTTGATCCATAATATGGTCTAAAGGTCATTCATTGGTCGTCGAGTCGTCCATGATCATTGATCCATGTGACCAGCTGGTGGCACGTTTGCCATGTTTGGAGAGAACATGAGAGAACCCTCTTCGCGGAGACGCCATCAGATGGCGTCCTTGAGGAGCGGTTGAACGTTACCAATGCGGTGCTCAAATGGGCGAGACAGAACAAGGACAGAGACTTGTGGAGGCGCCGAGCTCAACGACACCCCTGTGAGCTCAACGATGCAAAAGGATGCCACTAGGTGTCTCTTTGCAAGCCATCAAGCGTGTCGTTTCCGAGTCATGTCATGTCACGGCCACAACGTTCAGACCATGTTGTAAAAATAGATAAAAGAGAAAACAACGCGTCAAAAGGCAGCCTTAACCCCTCATGGCAAGAACCTGGGGACACAGCTGCACAACCACCCGGCGCCAGGCATGGCTCACAACCACCGTTGCTGCTGCTCCTCTACGATCGGACGGAGTGGATTCCAGATGTTTGGAATGTCGATGGTCGATCCCTTAGCTGGATTGGACTGCTGCCTTCGCAGCTGGATTAGGAGCAACACCGACTTGTCGGTGGCAACACCGACTCGTCGAGGGCTCCCTCCATCCCACTTGACAACTAAAGACAGGTGCATTTGTACTCGCCAACCATCTAGCACTCCCCCAGCCAACGAGCAAGTTCCTTTACTTGAGATAGCCCAATTTAGGGGTTGGCAGGCCATTCCAAGCCCATCGGTCAAATGAAACTGGACAACAAACCTTTGTGTCCATGGGTTCACTCTTTTCTGCCACCTGTTGAAGGTAGACGAGCACACTTGCCCCAACTTGGCGTGCCAAAAAAGGACCATGCGACGTTCCACGTCCGGAGCGAGGTGTCTTCACCCTGGAAGACCTGTCCTATGCCCGCCATGTTTCCCGTGGAACCGACCCGCTTTCTTCGAGGCTTGGGGCATGGCGCGCCACGGTCGCCGGAGCTGATCCGGGATGCGAAGATCTTGCACTGGACCGGTCCGCTCAAGCCCTGGCTCGGTGGCTGGGCTGTGCTGGGTTTGGTGACCCTTGGAATCCCTGTGTTGCCACAGATCCTGGGCGGTTGGTCGGTCACTTCAAGGAGAAACACCACCTCCGTAGAGAGCACCTTCTTGGAGGGAAATGAGGTCGGAGGGTTCATTTCTTTTTGGGGAAAAGACCATGACGTCCCCAAGCAGGTCGCTTGTCTATCCTATCGATGGACACATCGACCAGCTTTTTTGCATTTGAGACTCAGTCTGGGTGCAAAACATCCTTCTGTGGGAAAAGCATCCAGCTTCTGGGTGACTCAGTTGGGGAAAAGACTCTGATAGACTCAGTCTTGAAGTTTCGCAAGAAAATCCAAGAGTTTGTGTTGGAGGGTCGAAAGGCCGAACTTCGAAAGGTAGATGTGAGGGGAGGAATATGAGCTAATGCACTGCCTTATGAAGATGAAGAGATCAACCCTCCCCCAGGCATCTCAGTTCCCCCTTGAATCTTTTCCGCCCGAAAACACGGACTCTGTTTCGAAAAGACCGACACAGATGTCCTTTGCAATCCAAGGCAATGGTCTTCGCAAGGACCTGAGCTTCGTCGTCCCCGTCTCATGTTTTGGGGTGCACAAGCTGTGGTTTGTTTAAGTGGCTTTTGGTCGAACATGCAGAGACACGAAACAACAAAAGATACAGTAACACATGCAAAACCAAATTGTACCAGATATTGTAGACTTGCAGGACTTATGGGATCCATACAAAATTCATTGCTGGGATATGATATTGGATCATTTCAAAAAAGAGTATAATATATTATTTCTATACATATATATATATTTCTATTTATGGGGCTTACGCCCAACAGCGGGCCAGCAGGAGGTTCAGTGGCAAGCGGAGGGGCAAAGAGGTAAGACTTGTGGTTGTTGTTGTTGTTGTGGTGGCGGTGGCTGTCTTTGTTAATGGTGTTTGTTGTTCGTGTTGTTGGTAGAAACTAAAACAGCGGCCCAACATAGAGGTCACATGTTCCACTGCCAGAACTTGAAGGTTGCACAGTTAGGGGTGTGGTTGAAGTTTGGTGGAGAGGTTAGTCTTCTAAGTAGGTGGCACTTCTTTCTCTCTTGAGTGTTGGTTTTGGTTGGTTGGTTTTCTTTGTTTTTGGGGTGTTGTTCTGGGGGGGGATCAAAAACAACAACGGGGTCCCAGTCTTAGTTTCTAAAAACAAGTAGAGAAAACAACACGATTTTTGAGGGGGGTCTCAAAAAACAACAACGGGGTCCCGGTCTTGGTTTCTAGGAGAGAGTAGAACTCCTGGTAGGTAGGTTGCAGGGTTGCTTGGTAGGATACAATAGCTAGGACTGCATTGTAGGGTAGCAGCCACCTACCACCCACCACCACCACCACCACCACCAAATTTCCTCTTTACCAGTATCATCAGGCTCCCACCAACCATGAGTGGGCAGTACCCTGCGAACTGAGTAAGAAACAAACTCCTGGAAACGGAGGGTGACACACACACACACACATATATATATATATATATGTGATTTGAACAAATGCAAGCACCGCATTCGAACCAGAGGACCTTCGAATGTTGCATCAATTTCCCAGACCACACGTGGTTTGGCTCAAGGATGGACGGGTGTCCGAGGGGGTTGAGCGGTCGGAGGACCGCCAACCTTTTGTTGTTGGTTTGAGGGTTGGATACCCCAGAGGTGGAGGGCAAGGAGGCTACCAGTGTGGTTGCTGTCGCAGCCACATATATATATATACATACATATATGTATGTATATATACAAGTCTTATTAGTAGTCTAATTGCAGGATGGATTGTTGTTTTTAGGGGGGGTCAAAAAACAACGACGGGGTCCCAGTCTTAGGTTCTACCCCGCAGCAGAAACATATTGAACATATATGTGGAGACGGGGTCGCAGTTGTTGTTTGTACCGTGTTGTTGGTGTTGGTGTGGTTGGTGTTGGCGGTGTTGTTGGTTTTGTTGTAGTTGGAACAGGAAAAGGGGTGCGCAAAAGCATGAAATGCCGGCCATCTGAAGCCCATTTGAAGGAAGGGAGGGTACCCTTGCGGAGTATGTTACGAATAATTTTGTTTTCGCATATGTTTTGCAAAACATAGTAAAGGTACAGTGTTTTTAGATGCGTTTGCGCGTGGAAGAGGCTATTAGGTCTATAACAGATTATAAATCGATTTTACCATCCTAACAATTGTAGGAAATTTTTAAATATATATATTATTGGCTTAAGGCTTAAGATTGTTTAAGGCTTTTAGGTATTTAACCATAGTAATTGGCACTTTACATCTACATCGTGGAGGCCCTTGAAACTGAGGAGGGTGACAATCCGATTTATCTAGAAGATACAACGGAACTATTTGGTTTGTTAAGGTTGCGGCCAAAGCTGGGTATGGGAAGATAGACTCATCCAAAAGCCCAACATGAAATGCAACTTATGTGGCTAATCGTGGAAGCAACGAAAATTTCCTGATCTTCGCAAACGACGAATTTAATGGGCTTTATGGAACTACACCAACAAAGGTGAACAGTGGCCTAAACGAAATTTTAAGGAAATATTGGTATTATCATTACCTGGGTTATATGGAGGAAAGCCGGCAAAAAAGAACAAGGGCAAGGTCGAAGGTATTGAGAAAAAACTTTAAAAGCATTGGACAAGCATCGCAGAAGTTTTGAGAAGCCAACTTGAAGCAATGGAATTAAGGCAGCGGAACCTGCTCCGCTACCGGATCTACTAACCCTGATTAAAGAACACTTATAGAGCTTGCCAACAGATTTGAAGGAGGCAATTGAAAAGATTATGGAACCATAGAAAAATGAACCACCATTGAACCAGAAGGTCAAATAGGCCGTTGGAACGCTAAAGCAACTATCGAAGAAGAAGATTTTTATCTAGGGCAAAGCGGACATGGTGAAGCAGCAATACACTTAATTTGGGTAGGATTTGAAGGAAATTTAAGGCAAAATAGAAGCAGCACAGAAAGATTTGCAAGAGTCAACGCATTTCTACAACCAACAGTTCGAGAAAGAATGGGAGAAAGCAACTGATTAGACAATGCAGGATGAGATTACAGCGGAAAATCTGCTGACGGTCATGGCCAATCTAGGGATGCAAGTCTCCGCAGAGTAGGCCAAAGAGTTCGGGCCAAAGAGTTCGCAAGCAAGCTTGGTGCGAATATCATGAAAACAAGGAAATATGGGTAACAAATCACATCTACACAGGTAGTAGGTTTAAGGGGACAATCAAGCATATGCCCCGCATACTACTTAATTTGGGGGAAAAATTGAATAGCAATGCATGGCATATGGTGATTTTGGCTCAGGCACAGAGGAAAGGGGTGATTTCCTTTGGGTTAGCCAAGGGAAAGAGGTTTCTAGACAGAAGTCAACTTTTGAACAGGGAAGTTCCAATTTCCCGAGCTTTTGTGGGGGAATGGGCATCATGGACGAACTCATGGAAGCCCATGACGACGCGGGTGCACTATCACCGGACGAAGGAGAACATGCAATTCATTTTAGCCTGGACTATGTGCTTCAGAACCTACAGATTAGACTGGGGAATTATAGAAATAGATGTTTTGCCAACGGACCTTTCCGGTTTTGGGCTTGGGTGGGAAGCTTCCTATAAGGCCCTAGACTATGGCAGAAAACCATACCGGCAGTCATGGCGGTTCTGGGGGATTTAGAGGTGGTTAATCACGAAAGCTAGCGAAGCTAGCTGGAGTTACTCTTGCGTACTCTTGCGATAACAAGGTTTCTTTCGACCGGGTGCAAATCCTAACCTCTGATTTTTCAGGTCGAAGACCCCGCCCCCTCCCCTCCCCCCTCCCCCCTCTCCCCCCCTCTCCCCTCCCCCCCCCCCTCCCCGCTCCTCCTCCTTGTCTTCCTCCCACCTTCCCTCCCTCCCTCCCTCCCTCCCTCCTCCCTCTTCGTAAGTTCGACTCCGTCCTGTCGTCGCTCTTTGGTATGCGGTTAGCGTTGCGTATCTTGCGACCGCACTCTCTCTCTCTCTCATCTCTCTCTCTCACATCTCTCTCTCTCACATCTCTCTCTCTCACATCTCTTTCTCTCACATCTCTCTCTCTCACATCTCTCTCTCTCTCCTCTCTCTCTGTTTCCTCTTTCTCTGTCTCCTCTCTCTCTGTCTCTCGTCTTTCCGTCTTTCTTCTCTTTCTTCTCTCGCAGGAGGATCCGGGCAAAGAGCCACATATAAAGGACTCTTCACCCTTGCCTCCAAAAAGAGCGCCGTGTTTTTTCGTACCTCACTGCCCTCCACTTTCCCATTTTGGAGCGCTAGCTTTCGCCCGCCCCCTTGGCCTCAAATATTACAACTCTGACAACTCTTAGACCGCTGTGGGAACAATTTAATGATATGGTTTAAGATGATGCATCACACTTCCTCCAGGAGCTGGTGAGGCTTTCGGAATCGAATGCTGTCATCAAACAATACCACTACGTAGACCATCGATAAGAAGTACATCTTCGAGAAGCATTCCCTACGCACCTCATCTATCCGACAATGAGGGTCAAGAATTTGAAACTCTGATTGCCAGATGGGCAAACACGGCAGAGGGGAAGGATTATGGGTGGCTCAAATTGGGCGATACACCCATCTTAAAGGTGAATGGACTAAGCATCACAAATCATTGCAGGTGCCATCTATCTTCAATTTGCCGGTCAGCTATGATGGAAACATCACCAAAACGAAGCAGTACGAAGCAGTATTCCCTGGTTGGACTTCTTTGCTACACAGGTGATGGGCACAAAAGTGGTCATTTCTATGCCATCTTCATCTACACAGGCCTGTACTGGATTGTTGATGATGGAGCTTTTCCTCGAGGACTTATTAAACAACAGATAGTACAGGTTTGGGCTGTACCATCAAAATCACTACTTCCGGAGAACATTCGGAGCGACTTCCCGACGACCAAAAAGAGCATGGAAATTTCAGAACCTCAGACCAAAAGGCAACGACAAGAAGGGGTAGACTTTGCTTTTGCCAACGTGACCACATTGGGGCAAGAAGTGAAATAATGTCTGGGAGGACGACCAAGAACACCCATCTTTGTTGTCGAAACCCATTTAGGAGAAGCTGACCACTTCAAGACCATGCAATGGTTTAATACCAGGGGTTTTGGAGCAATGGGACAACCAGCTGCAAAAAGCACCAAAGGCGGAACCCATGGAGGCATCATGCTTATATACCCACCGCGCCACTATGTGCAACATCAGGTGATAGATGGATGTGGCTGGTATGCGGTCATGTGGAGCTTCAATTAGATGAACATCATCCTGATTGGGGCATACTTCAAATGCGGAGAAGGGGTTCAAGGCAAGACCAACGCGGCCTTGTGGGCCGGACTCATCACCTTTGTCACGGGAGTGAATCAAGGATACATTATAGTTGGGGACTTCAATATCATACCTGGTGAATTCATGGCCACCACAATGAGCACCGTCATGCAAGTGCAGATGATAGCATGTGATGAAGAAACGTGCAATACAGGCAGTGAATTGGATTGGGCGCTTGCCAGCAACCAACTTAGTGCAGATCGGACAATGCAGACGAGCTGGGAAGTGCCTTGCAGACCTCATGCTCAACTACTCCTTCATCTTGGACTGACCATGGAGCCAATAGCAGTCAACCAGATCACACGATACAACCCAGTGCCACAGTTGGAAAAGGTGACCAAAGAATGGAGCCAAATTGAGCCAATTGAACACACAGTTCACTGGCTGGACTTTGAGGACAACCCGGTCAGCCGCAAAGCAGGCATCATTTATAATCGAATTGAGAGGTACGTTTTGCAGAACCTCGACAGACCGATAGAAGGCAGGGGCATCCGGCTTCAATTCTAGCAAAAGCCACTGGCTGACCCATCCAAAGCTTGGCTGTGGAAGAAAGGAAGCATGGCATTCTAACCAAGTTGAAGTTCGCCTGCAGCAAATACAACACAGACCAAATCATCTCCTTGGAGATTAGCCTCATTTAGCGAAATTGGGGTGGCGCATTGAGCAACATTGGCATGAAGATGCCAGCACCACCTGCAAGAACTACTAGATGCTCTTCAACATGGTCTGGAACCAGCCTGAAGCAGACCACCTGCTAGCACTCCTACAGCATACCAAAGAGCAACGTGAACTACATCAAGCCACAAGCTTTGCCGCTGTACAGGGAATGGCTGGCCAAGGCATCACTCAAAGGGCACAGGGACCTGTTTAGGTGCCTCAAGAAAGACGAACAACCTTTCACGCGACCTTTCCAGACGTTACCAAGACAAGAACATATGGAGAAGAGGATCCAACAATGGGGTGAAATTTGGGGAAGCAGAGAAGGAGAACATAGAGTCAAGACTTTGGAGGCCATGATTGAGAAGGCAAAGGAACATGCGGCCACCATGCAGCCTCTGACTGAAAGGCACATCTGGTACACCATCAAGCAGCTTTCCAACAAGGCGCCAGGTCTAGATGGAGTTGGTTTCGACTTCCTCAAGGCTTTGCCGTATACAGCCATGAAGGATTTGGTCGCCATGTACCACCACATTGAGGAAGAATGTTTGGTCCTAAACCAATGGCTGGTTGTACTCATAGCCATGCTACCGAAAACAGCTGAGATTGAAAGACCAATAGTATTGGTGGCAACCATGTACAGACTTGGGTGTCGACTCCGAAACAGCTACACCAAAGAGTGGCAAAGTCAACTAGCAGACGAATTCCCATGGGAGAGAGCAATCCCAGGAACTGAGTGTTTATAAGTGGCTCTCAGAAGGTCCTTTGTTACGGACATAAGCAGGCGCTCAAAAAGACGGTCATCTCGGTGCTCCTTGACATGTCCAACTTCTATGACCGCATTAACCTCCAGGAGCTGGCAGAAAGGTGGATTGTGTCCAACTATCCTGGCACCCATGTAGCTTTTGCAATGCAGATTTACCTAGGCACCCGCGTCCTGGAGGCAGAAGGAGAAGCATCACAATCTATGTGGACGGAGAACGGAATCCTTGCCACAGATCCACAAGCACCCTTAGCGGCCAAGATATACTTGCAGAAAGCCTTGAGGGCATTCTGCAAAAAATTCCCTTTCCTACACGTGGACCTGTGGATCGACGACCTCAGTTTCGATGTTATAGACAGGGATGTGGAAAATGCTGTCAGAATAGCAATACAAGCATACCACTACATTAAAGAGCTCCTGGAAGAGGACAATCTCAAGCTGTCGGTCAAGAAGACGGGGTTTCATCACCTCGAATGTCCAAGCCAAAAGATTTCTCCAAAGACAGCTTCCCAGCAATGGCCCGGCGGTGCACGATGTGATGAAAGACTTAGGAGTAGACTGCACGGCAGGCAGACTCAGAAGGATACAAGCAATGAGAGCGCGCAGAACAAAAATTTCCAAGAAAACCAAGAAATTGCACATTCTGAAATACCAATGAGGGCAGTCCGCCTCAAACTGTACAAGGAATCGATCCAGTCAGGCATCAGCTGGGAACACCAAGCACTTGGCATGGCACCTCAATCCCGCAACCGCATCCGCATAGCTATGGCTATGGCCCGCCAAATGGGTTTACAACGGACAGGGAATGCTGACATTGTCTTCGACATGCAGCCACGCCACAAAGATCCAGACTTTGAAGCATTTGCAACACAGGTCAAGATCTACAGGCAATGCTTTGGCAAATGGCCGGAACACCTACATCGAGATCTGGATCGAGCCTGGCAAGTAACCAAGGACAAACTCAAACAGGCCAAACATCCTTGGCAGGTGGTCAAAGGACCGGTTGCAGCATTGCAATGCTACCTTAATGACAGAGGTTGGGACACGACTCACTACGACCGCTGGACCAAGCAAGGAGCAAATGGTGAAGAGGACTTCGAGCTCAACATGCATGCATCATGGCTCTACATCAATGAGGAACTACAGAGAGCACAGGTCAGAGAACGAATCACCAACATCCAGAAGAGGACAATGCTGGAAGAAGTTCAACAACCTCTCGACTGGACACCATGGAGGATGACAAGTCAATCCAACCCAAGAACAAAAGCAGCTTTGCAAACCTGGCGCCAAGGATCCATCTTCATAAAGATGGCAGAAGGCAGTGAACAAGATCACCTGACATGCCCACACTGCAACTAACCAATCCCAGCCATTCATCTCCTTTGGTTGTGCCAGCAGACGAACAACAATTGCGGCCCGCTCGCACCAGAAGACCAAAAGGAGTTGGAACAGGGCATCAACCTGGAGTTTTGGGCACAAGGACTTTTGCAGCTTCCAGCCGTCAAAATATCCACAGGAGGTGCGGCCATCCAGGCCTGGGGATCACTTATGGAGCTTGATGCAATCCAACTCAAAGGCCACGAAACCATGACCATTGGCATCGCCACCACAAGCGGAGATAGTCGAGTTCGACACCACATCGTGACCATAGTGCGCCACACCATCTTTGCTGGTGAGATGTTCCGGATGGGTGCAGTCTTAACGGTGCTGCTAGGCAAGCAATCACAATGCCGTGCCTGGTACTACGGGCTAAGAATGATAGCCCACTATGTGGATTTGACGACGCCTGTGCGTATCTACGTGATGTCGGTCAAAGCATGGTAGGCATGGGTGATGGGAAAACCCCAAGAGGAACTCTTTGATTTCTCATCTTTGGTGTCGTGGGACCAAAGACAAAGGGTGAGGGCCTTGAGCATCAACAAAACCCAGCTCAAAGGGATGCCAAATATTGGCATCTCTATGCGCGCCAGATACAAAGATGCAAACAAGGCAGCCATGGAAGTAGCCATCTCAAGAAGACCAAACAGTCAGGAGCAAGAGCTTAGAGATCAGGACAGGAAGTACAACCGGATTGCACCGTTGGCAGCTCAGCGCATCAAGTACCTTTTTGTTACACCTGATCATTTCTTTCATGAACAGAAAACGGCTGGCAAAGAAAACCGGCAGAAAACCAGGGAGCTCAAGAAGGCCTTGTTCTTGGAGATCAGCGTCACAGGAACAGAAGGAGGTCACAGATGGCAACCAAAAGGCAATGGATTTCAGTGCATCCAATATCAGTGCAGAATTCATTAGCATTTGACGCTGGCCCAGCTCCGACAGGCAAAAGAAGAGAAGTGTGCACTGGCAACAGGTTTGTCAGTGAAAGGAGGAGGACCACCGGCTGAAGCAAACAGGCCTACATTCAGAAGCTCATTGACAATCCCGCACCCGACGGACATGAACTACAGATTCAGACGAATTACTTGGTCTGCAACTAGTGGGATCTGCGCACTTTGCGGAACTCAACCAGAGAAAAGATAGAACAGCTCCATTAAACCAGATGTTGGAGCGATCCATGGGAACCACCAAAGACGTGGACTGGCAATCCATGTCACAAGCTCCATCGAAGGGGCAACAAAGTAATTATGGTGCATTGATTGCAAGTCCTGTGCAATTTATGCCGGAGAAGAATGGAAAGCCAGCAAACCATTGCAGAGGCCATGTCAGGTGGCAATTATGAGTAGGCAATTGCCACTCACATTCAAGGCCAAGATGGCCGAGGAGCTACTGATTTAGAAAAGGTCCGCGAAAAAAAATATTTTGTTAAATAATATTTATTTGTATTATTTTTATATATGTAATATGTATGATTTTTGAATTTATATAAAAATAATGCTATTTCTTATATATTATATACAACTTATTTAGTAAATATATATAAATTATGATTATTATAAAATAGAAAATATAAATCTATTTATATAATGATTTTAGTTAAAATAAGTAAATATTGAAGATTTAACATTAATATAAATAATCTATAATTATAATTAAATACAATATTTCGATAATTATATATGAAATATTAATTGACAATATACATTATTATATATTATATTTATTTTTTAATTTTGGATGGTAATTAATTTCGTTATAGTAGAAATTTTTAGAGAGATTATTTTGTTTTTATTTTAACAATATATTTTTATATATATTTGTAATTTTAGAATTTTTATATTTAGTATTCTATTTAATATTGATTTATCGATATATAATTTTGTATTTTAATTCTATTATTAATAATAAATTATTTAATAATTAAAATATTTATATATTAATAGGTTATATATTAAATATAAATTTATATAAAAAAACTAAATTTTATTACAAGTATTATTGGCAAATTATTGTTTTTATTTCTATTTTAAAAATTAATATATATAAAATCGATGGAAAAGGCACTCGATACAATCCGCAGAGACATTGTGTTTTAAGCCTTGACTCAGATTGACTTACCACCGGATATATTGTATATGATCTAAATTTGGTTGGCGCTCCATCAATATTACATCCCCTTTAAATCATTTGTTGGCACCATAGAAGCCAATCGAGGGATTAGCGGATGCGACCATCTTGTGGCTCTTTGTATGTACCTCATCATGCAGGACCTCCTTTAACGATATTCCCATGCATGGCTGCACGACCATCTCATTTTGTATACGCCGATGATGTTTATCTTCGATGGACCTTGACCAACATTGTTGATGGTCTGTGTGCCCTTGGAGATCTTGCACACATTCTGCACACCTTTCGCACATATGGGTTCAACATAAACACCACTAAGAGTGTGGTTCTCTTTCGAACAATTGGAAAAGGGGTCTCTAAACTCACACGGCACTGGATCTGCCGGACCAAACATGGTCCGCAACTTTCGATCCCTGACACACCGTTTCGCCTGCCAATGGTTGCCAACAACGTATCTTGGCGTGATCATTGGATATCGAGCATGGGAAATTGACACCACTGCACGAAGAATCCAGGTTGCACAACATTGTTTTTCGATTCTCAAGCGGTGGCTCCAGGCACAATCCATCCCAGCACAAGTTCGATTCAGATTGTACCACCAATGTGTTGTGCCAACGGTTTTGTACGGAATGCATGAAATGGGGTTGCCTACTTCATGTTGCAAACGACTGGTGAATATGATCAAAGTGCACTTCAGATGCATGACCCGCTCCCCTGTGCATCTCACACATGAAAATACCACTGATTTCTTCAATAGACTTGGAGTGCAACCACCATGGACACTCATTGCAGATCACTATCGACGCTTGACTACCGCTCTGGCCCACAAGCACCAGAGCCTGATGGAGCCAGATGAGCCCCAGCCGGACGTCTGTACACTCAGCCCTGAATACCCAACATGTGCCATGAGTGAATATGTCCCGCCGACCCCACCGGTGCCCCAGGCCTCCTTGGCCTGTCCCGAGTGCCATCGACAGTTTGTTCATGTTCAAGAAGCATCTTAGACAACAACACCAGATACCTTGTTTGCTTGAAGACGTGTTCCAACCCGTCCGAGACTCGTTCGAAGGTCGTTCCGTATGTAGACATTGCAAATACCAATTTCCAACCTTGTACGCCCTTCGTGAATACATCAACCGTCGAACATGTCATACATTTGTTGCCACTCAGGCCACAGTCCTGCCCATCGTGGCCAGGGAGGAGCTCCGTATGCACATCCGACACCGTTCCTTCATGGGCCTCATATTAGATGGAGCATTGTGTTCGGAGCTAGCCACCAGATATGCCTTTTGCAACTTGATAGTCCATGCACGAACCATGACCCGACACTACACAGATTCGCATCCAGAATTGGTCGGACCAGCACGGCAACAATACGATTTCGTGGCCGGGTTATCCAACTTGCTCTCAGGCAAAGGACAATGCCCTATGTGTCAATGCAAGAGTCTTGATGTGCAAAAACACACTTGTGCAATCATGTACCAGTGGGCCGCCATTTCGGGTCATGTTATGCCGCCTGAGCATTTTCCGATCATGCCACCTCGTAAAAGACCTTGGACGTCAGCCTCGAGCTCAGGCCCAGTGAATCCATCCACAGAGTCGAATCCTGAGCCCGCTGACAAACGAGCCAGAACCGAAATCTCAGCAGTTGTCCCAGATGAAGCCACTGACCATGCTAGTGATGCTCGACCCAGCACGTCACTCCATAAGTGTTCCACATGTCACGTTTTTTTTCTGAGTTTGAGTTGCCTGCAAACTCATTAACAGACCACCCATGAGACCATGACGGCTGTTGATCCTGTCCCACCTGCCAAAAGGGGTCGTCCGACAGGTGACGATACTGTGACACGCCGCCGTCGTGCCCAGACCACAGAAATTCCAATTCCCTTGCAAGAGTTTGAATGCCATTGTGCTTTGAACGCTTGGGCCGCAAAGCAGTAGCTGGCCACCTTCGATCAGTCCATCAAATTGACAAGCCCAGCTCCTTTTCCTTTCGACCCAATACAGACATATTCCAGGTCGATTAAGCTGCATGCACTGTAAAGCCAACTTCACCATGGCGTTTGCAATCAAGAACCATTTTGATAGGGGTAGATATCCAATCTTACAATTGAGACTCCTCAATTGGGTTCGAGATGCTCACTATGGCCCGAAGATTGTTGACGCTCCTCCCACTCCTGTAATTGTCGAACTGCCACCGCCGACTCAGGGGATCCACAAGACCTGGACTTGTGATCTCCTTCTCGGCACTGATTTGCATCCTACTGCAGCCCTGCGTCACTATATGAGTGTCACAATTGCTCCGTGCATTCAATTTCGCCCAGGACGTCGTTTCTTGTGGTACACCTTTCTTGCCTCAGGTGGTTTTGAATATGGGCATTGCGCCCTACATTGTCCGCTGGATCGTAGAGCCGCTCCCACTTCATTGGGCCTGGTCCTCAGACAGCACAGACTCCTGGTGGGACCCCCGCACGATTGATTTGGACACCGACCCACTTGATTAAATTGGTTGGATCTGCACTGCAATCCTTGAATTCGAGCATGCCCTGGCCAGAGATTTTGTCCTGACACCGGCCGTACCTGATCATGGCAGACAATATGTCACTGGACGACATATCCTTTGCCGACCTCCTGGACACATGTCAGGCCCACCTCAAACGACCACGAACAGAGGTGGAATCATTACAGGGCAAAACCCATGTGAAAGGCAGATCGAAGAACCGATCAGACTCCTCAACCACCTCTTCGAGGCACGACGGGGATTCCGAGCTTCTGATGATGCTTGCCAAACTGAGTCTGCGGCAAGAAAATATCCTCAATCAAATGGCATTGGACCGCAGTTTGCTTCTGTTTTTTCCAGGCCGGGAAGGGATCGATACTTCCGGCCATGATCCTGGCATGCAAGGAGTGGCATCAGTAGAGACAAAACACAGGAGTCACCTGCTCCCTCCGTCAGGTCAACTTCTTGAAGGTGATAGAGGAGCTGATCCAAAGATTGGCCAAGCTGAAATTCGACAGCCAGGACGATCCACTGGTGCAGGCCCTCCGGCAGAAAAGCATTCTGACTCCCGAGAATGCCCAGAACTACCTCACATGGGATTCGGCCGCCAAGTGCCTTCGTCCAACGAAGCAGCCGCCTTTGACGCAGGACAAAATTCAGGAGCTCACTATCCAGCTCTTCCAGCTGGCCAGTCAGGGCGATTTGATCCAACGATTCTCCGCCCTCAAACCGATGAATCGAGATCAGATTCCAGAAGATACACAGGTGACAATCCCATGGTGCTTAGATCTCAGCTTGCGCAGCGCCGCCTTGACTCAGCTCTTCGAGATAATTTAGAGGAAATGGGATCTGTCAATTGATCCTTCTTCGCTTACGACCCACAGGCCTGCAAAGATCCACTTGCTACAGCAATCGCCCACCGTGTGCGACGCTGATGCGCCAGCTTCTCCAAGTTAAACTGCACAATTCATCCAATGCTTGCTATATCAATGCGGCGGCAACTCTGGGCCACTTTGTCCCATGAAGGATTTGATCCAGAGCTTTGGGGTCAGTGGAGGCTTCCTCTACTTGAGATGCTCGACATGCAAGGTGAAACGGATCTTTGTTCCTTCGAGCCTTTCCGGATACTGCTGACACCCTGGTTCAGAGAGCATAAGGCAGATGAACAACAGGATGCAGCTGAATTCTTGGGCTGGCTACGTGGTCAGCATTTGAATAACCATCTTTGGGGTCAGGAACACCGGGGATGGCAAGCCCGTCTTGCCAGCGGCATCGAGGACCGTGGAGCCTTATTGGCTCCTTTGCTACTTCGCATGCCGGATGAAAAGAGAAGCGACCTGCAAATTTTGATCAACATGTGGCGTGGTCAGGATCCACACACGAACGCTTGTGTTCATGCCCACCCATGCATAGTGTTGCAGTTCGAATACTTTTCTGCCATTGCAAAGAAGCATGATGCACTAGTGGACTTCTCTCGTTCTGAGGTCCACATTCCGATCTTCAACAATGATTCCGGCCGGGATGTCAGTTGGGTACAGTACAGAGTGGTGGCCATCCTGTGCCATTTCGGCGTTGAGCCCGAGAGTGGCCACTACTAATGCCTGTTTTTGAGCTCGGGTACTTTCTGGATGACAGATGATAGTAGAACAGCAATCAGGTGCCCGGTCGTTGATCCGATCCGCCGATCCACCTACCTGTCCTGGCTGGTCCCGCAAGAAGACCTCAGCCTTTGGTGGCGGAGACCCATAGAAGATCAGATTGTTGATTTGTCCGATTTGCTGGCTACGGCCTTTTCCAACTAGGCCTTTCGTGCCTTTCCTTTGATGCCTTCGATAGCATTCGAAAGCCAACCGATTGCATTGTGACCGTGGCAAATGATGCTCTAGAAGCACCCACAGCTTAGCTGTGCTGCCCAACATGGACCTGGATTCGCTCAGGCTGGAAGTGAATGAATGAATAAATCGATGCCTTAATCGATGCCGCGGAATGACTTCTAAATATCCGATTAAGGGATATGCCCATTGGAGAACAGACTTTAGGATTCAAATGACATGCCCAAGAGAAAGGAATTAGCAATTATTTATATTATTTATATGAGGTATTTGAATTTGGTAAAAAACAATGTCTATTCTGTTGTGCGTTGTTTCGCCATCTCTGTGATTTTGTTTGTGTTTGGAAACATGCGGCATGCTACTGACATTATCCATAAAATATTATGAATCGATGAGGAAAACCAAAGCCCGATGCCTTCTCCTAATGACCACTCCCAAATATGGAAATTTTGGATCGACCTTATATATTGATTTAGTAATAATATTATATTTAATATATATGTATATATTGAATTCTATATATATAAATATATCAGGTTATCAAAAGCATACTTCAGGAGATTAAGGAGGTCATGAGCAAAATACGCACGGCCCCCGTCATCGAGAAATCGCTGAAAACACCAAGGATGGAGGACATCATCCACCAGCTTATCGACACCTAGGACAAGCCGCAAGCTGGCGTATACTTCCTGAAATTGGAAAAGGCATAGCTCCGGTGCACCCAATGCCGGGCTTATGCGCTGGCACATACAGATGAGTAGGCCTTCGAGACCTTTGTTGGAGAGGCCTGCCGCAGCGGCCCTTTGCCTCCAACAATGTGGAACTGGCATCGTTCACATGCCATGCTGCGGCGCGGAGCTGCGGCAGAATGCACCCGCTGTCTGGAGCGAGGCTGTATTATAGATGAAATGATTTCCATTAATCGGAGACTCAAGGAGCCATGCCCGGCGAATTCACAAGATCTTCGCCGGATGTTCAATTCGTGAACGTATAATCGTATTGGACAAATCATGCAAAAATATACAATATTAATTTGGATTTAAGAACAATACATATTTAAATCATAAATTGTAATTAATATAAATTACTATAATTGTATTTTAGTAATATAAAAAATAAATATATTAAAATATATAACAATTAATTAGATAGAATATATTAAAGATATATAAATGAATATTTTTATACTTTAAAATCAATATCAAATGAATATATCTATAGATATAAAATTATATATTATATTTATATATATATGATTCGTATTTCTAATATTAAAATCTTTAGGAAATATTTTTGAAAATATAAAGATCGATATCATTATATAAATATATCATAAATTATATATATAATTCCTCGATTAATATGGATATATTTAGGGATTCTTACGGTAGGAGAAAAACAGGTATATTTAGACAGGGGTGCGGTGCGGGCATGTGCGACCAATTCGTTGCTATTTAATATATATTCATGCCTCTTGAAAGCTTCGAAATGCATTTCGATTGTGTAAACTCGCAGAATCTGGGGACCCGCAGCGGGTCCTTCCAAGGACTGCGCTCTCGTTGTGGTGCCTTATGCATTTTCACATATGATGGTAATTTTTCGTGGCAGGAGCAAAGGAAATCTCGTATTTTGGTTTTTCAAAATCGATTTTTCGTATTAGGCACAAGGCATTTGAATTATTTTACGTCGAAATGCAAGTTTCGCGGCACATTGGTGGTAATCGTCGAGGAATTCAGATTTCATGATAGGTGCAATGAATCGTGGTTTTTGGACATGCGGTTCGTTTGCAGATTTCGTGGCAGCCGCAATATTTGGAGAACCTCGAAATATATATTTGGTGGTGGGCGCAACACTTGGTGAACCTCGAAATGTAGATTTCGTGGGTAGGTACCACACTTTGTGAATATCGAAATGCAGAATTCCTGGCAAGCAGAACATTTTATTAACCTCGAAATATAAATTTCGTGGTAGGCACAACACTTTGTGAATCTCGAAATGCAGAATTCGTAGCAGGTACAATACTTTGTAATCCTTAATATGTAGAATTCGTGATAGGCAATAGGCACCATTTTTAATGCACCTCGATGCGTAGAATATGTGGCAAATACAATGCTACAAGGAGCCTCGATGCGCAGAATTTATAACAAATATAATAATTTATACGCCTCGATGCGCAGAAATTAAATATAATAATATAGCATTTTTTGCACCTCGATATATAGAATTCGTAATAAAAACAACACTTGGTAAATTTCCAAATTCAAATTTCACATTAAACATAATATTAATTAATTTCGAAATAAAGAAATCATAATAATTCCAATATTTTATTAATATAATCATAACCTCGAAATATAATTTTTTAAAATACAAATATAGTATTTTATATTTTTAAAACAGCATTTTTTTTCATTTTTAAATGAAAATATTTTCACATTCATTCATATTCAAATTCCCATTCAAATTCATTCTTTTTCTTATATTCGCGTTCACTCTCTCACGCTTACACTCCGTCATATTCGCATTCACACTCACATCACCCACACACACTTTCACTCTCACACTCACTCCCTCTCTCACTCGCTCACTTTCACTTTCACTCTCACTCTCACTCTCCCTCTCCCTCTCCCTCTCGCTCTCGCTCGCACTCACACTCACACTCACACTCACACTCACCCTCTCACTCACACTCACACTCACTCACTCTCCCACTCTCACTTTCACTCTCACTCACTCACATTCCCACTCTCACTCTCACTCTCACACACTCACTCTCCCTCTCTCACTTTCACCCTCACTCACACTCACTTACATTCCCACTCTCACTCTCACTCTCACACACTCACTCTTCCTCTCACACACTCACTCTCACCCACACTCACACTCGCACTCACTCTCTCTCTCTCTCACTCACTCGCTCGCTTGCTCGCTCGCTGACTCCTACCGCCACCGTCACCACGATCCCCACCTTCATCACCACCATCACTTCTCTGGACCCCAATGCGTCTAGACCTCTACACTTTCTGCTTATAGACCTCACACACACACACTGTTTGGGGTCTCTTGCCGGGAAAATATTTCAAACATATCATAGATATTCTATATATTAACGATTTTCATAAATATTAAGATCAATGCCATCAAACATAGCATAAATTTTATACAATTTTGAATATATTTTTTTATATTGTTCTTTTGATATTTTTTATGTGTATCTAATTCATTAAAATATATATATTTATTGAATTGTAATATGTTTAATTAGAATACACAAATTAATTATCAAATATGTTTTTAAAGTATATAAATATGTTTATTTTTTTAAAACATTTTGTAATTTATTGAATATTGTTTAACATATATATATATTTTTTAGTTTTAGTAATTAATATATGTCATTTCATTTTAATATTCGGCAGAGATTGGTCTGCCCATTAGGGGCTGCGTAAATTGATATGGCAAGGTGCGCGAAATTTCAAGAACGTCAGATGTACACATTCTAAATCCATTATAGTATAATATTCAAATTCCTGAGTTTTTAGGTTCAATTAATAACGGCGTCAAATAGGTTAGGTAGTTGTGGGGCCCTGGACGCCGTGCTGCATATGAAAAAACCGTCATCGAAGATAGATGAATGCATCAATGGGCACCAGGCACAAAAAAGTAATTGTCATCGTATATGGCATTATCCATCAATTGATAACATGGTTCAATCTCATCATCCGGCATGACGATTGAAATCACGTGGTAATTATGTCAAATAATTTCAAGGCCTATTGGATCGTCGAAGATTGACAATAAGATTTCAGATCGATTCCATAGGACGAATTCATAAACATTTATATGAAATATTGGGAATCTATCAATCTGCAAGTCCACTTAAATAAAAATACAATATATATATATATTCATCAATATATATATATATACATATATGCAGGGTGATTCTTGATATTTTTCATCGATCAGATTCTGCAGCAAATACTTTTGCGGGCGCGCGCTCTGAAACAACAATGATACCAATATGGAGCCTTGATCATCAATGATGGTCAGAAGACCTTTTTACAACCCTTCAAGAGGGCCATTACCAAAAAATCGCAAATTCGGCGGCGTTTTGTTGCGCTGTCTAGGATTTCCTTTAAATCTGGCAGGAGGGCAATATCTCCCCAAATATTCGATAATGCGAGGATTTAGTAATATATCCATAGTCCCCAATTATAATTAATATTATTCAAAAATAAATAAATTTCAACATTAAATCATCAATTCGCTAAAGATATAAATAAATTACGGACGAAAAATTCAAAAAAGAAAAATATCAACAAATATTTTTCTCGACCCACCTATATATATACACAGTATATTTATTAAGGCTATATACAACATTTTGAATAAATACAAAGGATAATGAATCTATAACGATCTCAAAATAAGTACCTTCTAAAGAAATACAAAACATATATTCAAAGCGAAATACTAAAATAAACAAATATATATTCATTCATTCAACTGCCAGCAGACGAGTCGGTCTGCCCGTGTTGGGCCGCATGTGAAAACGCGGATCCTTCCAGAGGATCGAGACCGATCTGGATGCTGGTGCTTCAGGTCAAATGCTCGGATATCAACGCTCCCAACTGGACCGCGGTGGTCGGGAGAGGTTGGTGGAACTCGGTTCGAATGGCCTCCGTGGGGGCCAGCCACAGCATGTAGACGTTCTGGTAGAAAGCTTGGTCTCTGACCAATCTTGTTGGCGTGCGGTTGTCATC